GAAATTTCAGACCTATTAGACACATGAGAGTTTTGAACAATAAAAAGGAAGAATAACAGTCACCCGAACCTTCATCTAGAGGCTTGATCGAGTAGGGATGAAAAGGCCGAGGCCGCAGCTGCAAAGTCACACCATTTGTACATTCTGCTCTATACCCAAGCCATAACCAGACCTGGTGGTAAATACAAAAATATTCACAATCTCCCAAAACCTCGGAAAGTCTATCCCTGCAAAGAAAACCCAACCCCTTCTCCAGTCCCCATCTCAACAAGATTAGCCCTCATCTTCTCAGCCCTCTCGCCAAGTCCAAAGGCAGCATCATCACGATGAACCCAAGCCCCGACTCCATGCTGTAGCACAGCGGTAGCCCGAATCTTCTTCTTCTCGTCGGCATCATCATCCCCACCCCCAGAAGCCTTCAACCCAAGACTTCCATGCAAAGTCAACCTCGTCTCAGCCCCACCCTCACTCTTCCCCCGATAAACACCACGGTGCAAGATATTGCTATTATAAAACACTGCATCTCCAGGCTGCAACTGAACAACCAACTGATCCGGCAACTCAGCCGCATAAGGATCCGCATCACGCTCGACCTGCGTGCGCGCACGTGCATGGGTTCCCGGCACAACAATCAGCGACGCATCGGGACACAGCGCCAAATTATATTGGCAATGCGACTGACGACCGCCAGGTGCTTTAGCCGCAAGCTGTGCGAGTTCTTCTTCGGCAGTGGCATGCTCGGAGATATCATCACGGTGCCAGCGGAGCTCGAAGTCTTTGGTTTCCGGCGCCACGAGCAGGTTGAACAGTTCCATGACGAGCGGCTCGGTCTCGCTGTCGGTGTTTTCAATTCCCATTAACTCCTCTGCTACAGCGAGAATCGTTGGGGAGAAGTAGCATCGTGCGAAACTCTCCCGTCCTGGCATTTCGGGGTGCATTAGGTGCTGCACGCCCCAGATTCCGCCCTCCGAGGCGGGGGGACGGTCGTCGGCCAGGGTGGGAATTGTTTCGGGACAGTGCGGAAGTGTGGCCAGCTTCCGGTGCGAGTTAGGGTTGTTGCTGTTGTGGCAATGTCGCGGTAGTGCGATACCTCTGTTGGGGTCAGGAGGTTACGGACTACTACGAAGCCATCGCGTTTAAGGGCGTCTAGGTTTGGGGTGGCCATGGTAGAGAAAAAGTCAAACAATTAGATCTCGAGTATCTGGAGATATAGGAAGTATCTGGATATCTAAAGATGGAATTTATATCTGCGGGGTTGAAATAGGCTAAAAAAAACAATACGACGCAATGTCGCATTGTGGTTTTCTGGAAGATCTCGATGCTACCGTGGATCTCGATGTGACGGTATTTACATATATACATCATACGATTCTGTATTTTATGTGTGCTGGAGACCTCGGTAGTTTTAATTATAAATAATATTTCGCAAATCAAACATAACAAACTATTTTTGGTTAGGAATCAACGTCATGGTGCCAAGAATCAGCCAAGTCGAAGGGCTGAATCCTCTGCATTTGATATTGCAATCTTTTTTCCCTTAATAATCTTTTGCTTAGTTCTCTAGCTTTTACTCTTTCGGGATTTTTTTTATATTAATCCCATCCAATTTCAACAAAAATATCACAGTGCAAATCCCCCACCATGCCCCTCCTCCACGCGGGCTCCGCCCTGCTAGTATTGCTCCTGATACTCCCGCAAGTACACGCCTTTGGAGCTGGAAATATTGCCTCTATCTCTGCCGTCGAAGGCAAGAACTGGCGCCATGGTGATATTGAAGACGTCCTCAAGACGCTGGCTTTCATCTCCGGTCACAAATGGACCTCTACTATGGTCAAGCGCGTGTATTTTGGTAACTGGCTGCGCGATTAGTGAGTTAGCAAAACAATCGAAAGATCGATATATTCTGACTTCTTCTAAGCTCGCAGGCAATGGACGTTGGAACTCTTAAAAATCTGCAGGCCGATACGATCCGTGTTTTGGTGTGGGTCCTTTCGTTCCTGAGCTTCGGCTATGCCACGGGTGAATTTGAGGTGACTTCGGATCGCTTGGGTGTTTACCGTCCCGAGGAACATATCGAGTAAGTCTAGCTTGAGCTTCTTGACAATTTGTACGTGCTGATCGTCTTCTTCACGCAGTAACCCCAAGGACTATGCCGACAACGAAGATGCACGCCAATATGACAAGCGGTTGCGCCCACCCGTTCGTGCCATCGAGCTCGAGATCGACCCGAGCACCGGTATGAAGAACTATATCGCCAACGAGAGAGGCGATTGGGCTACCAGCACTGCCTTTATCAAGTTCAGTCTGAGCCGCAGTATCCACTATGGACGGACCTACACCAACGGTGGACATAAGAAGGGTAACGAGGAGGACCTGTGCGAAGCACTCCGGTGTCTTGGCCAGGGATTACACACGCTGGAGGATTTCGCCGCACACACTAACTATGTTGAGCTGGCGTTGCGTGAGATGGGTTTCAAGAACGTGTTTCCGCATACGGGTACTGCCACCCAGATCAACCTTCAAGGACATCGCGTTTTCCCGCTTATAACGGGAACCTTTGGTATGGTCGATTTCTTCCATTCCGTGATGGGAGAGGCAAATGATCATTTCACTCAATCCGAGGTCAACGAGATGGATCTTGCGCTCGGTAATGCCGAAATGAATGCGCAGTCGAACAACTCCCTTAGTGCCTTGACTGGGCTCTTGGGCAAGATCCCCGGTACGAAGGAGCTCGTTAGCGAGGCCGAGGGTCTCAAGAGGTCGTCGGCGGAACAAGAAATAGCCAACCGGAGCCGTGGTGCTGGGACCGGCTATGCGCAGTCTGCTTCCAATAGCCACGAGCGGTCCCGTGCGGAGCCAACTCTATCTTCAGGCGGTTCGAAGCCTGGTGCTGGGCTCGACGGCATGCCCGATTTCAACCCACAGGAGACAGTAGCTAAGATATATCCCATCCTGGCTTTCCGAGATAAGGTGGCGCGGAAATTGAACTCGATCATTGAAAAGATCCCAGGCTTGGAGTCACTCGTCGAGAAGATCTCCGAGACTCTAACTGTTTTCATCATGTCTCTTTTAGCGCCTTTCGTTCGACCTCTGATCAAGGCTGCTTCCAAGTCCATCCAAAGTGGATCAGCAGGTGTTATTGATGCCTCTGGCAAGCACCAGTACGAACCATGGACCGATCCTCACTGCACAGACCCTACCCACTCCTTGCTCTCCAAGGACCACTTTGCCAACATTCTGAATGAGCCCGCCGGACGGGTCGCCTCTTCAATCGTGGAGTACGTCGCGCCTCGCATTCTATACGCTTGGCAACACACCGATGTCCCCGTGGACGAGGTCCTCAATGACTGCATGCAAGTCTTCCACCACCCAGCGGTGCGCAATATGCGCAATGATGCCCATCGTGCAATGTTCGAGGCCGTCGAAAAATGGGCCCACGGCCGCTCAGACCGCGGCGCTTCCCTTGACTCCATCCTCAGCTCTGAGGGTGTGAGATCTGGTCGTAACACTGGCGGAGTGAGCCACACGCACAGCGGTGGTCATGGTGGATTCGCTGCATTGGGCGGTGCCTCGCACGGCCAAAGCCAAAGCCAGAGTCATAGCCAAAGCCAAAGTCACGGACACAGTAACAATGGCGGACATTCATCTGGTGGATTCGCCTCATTCCTTCCCCAACAAAATCAACACCAAAACCACCAGCAACAATCAAACAGCAGCTCCTCTGGCATGCCCTGGGACAAACTCTCCAGCATCCCCGGTTTGTCTAACTTGGGTAAACTCGAAAGTACACTCTCCAACTTCCTCCCTGGCGGGTTGTCACGCGATGTAAACGACGAAGGGGACCAGCAGAACCAGCACAGCTCATACCAGAGTCACCAGGCAGGGGGTAGATACAACGCCCCTCATCCTCCTCCACAGCAGCACGGCGGATACCACCAGCCTCAATACGTACCTCAACAGAGTCACGGTTACCAGGGAAATCAACAGCATGAACAGCATTATGGCGGCTCGCAGAATTCTTCGTCCTATAGACAGCAGGACGACCACTTCGGCCATCCGCAGCCACATGGCGCCCACAATGCCCCGCCATACGGTTCACATGGTGGATTTGGACAGGATCAGGGACATGGTCGTAGTCACGGACATGGACATGGTCACCCGGGTTACTGAAAATTTGATGATGAGACAAAAGAAAATGAATGAATTGGTTGAATATGTGGATATCAAGATTAGATGAAATGGGTGATTGTGTTTTAATCAAATTGGATGGTTGTGCCCATGTCGGTTTATAAGGCAATGGAGTTGGAAAAGACGGAAGGGTGGAGGATCTAGGAACTTGGAAGTTGTACTGCATTTTATAAAAGCTCGCGTGAAACTCTTGACATTGAGTCAACTTGAGCTTTCTTTGAATCTATATGAGCTATTAAGATTCCCCGGATATCTCTTGGTCTTGAGGTTATTACCAAGGTGGTTTAATTGGTCAGGTTCTTCCTCAATCAATGGATCTATTTACTTGGTTTCTTGTCCTGAGATGCTGTTTCATCATGGTCTAGTACCTATATAACTTCAATAAGTATACAGGGTGCAGATGGTCACCCTTGTGAGTTGTTTCTGTCTCTTTCTCCCTAGCCGGGTAGTCATCTAGAAAGAATTCTTACATTTTCCGCAAGGCTTTGTTGGGTATTCTAGGCCTCGTCTAAAAACGGGCAGTGCTAGCTCTTTGGAAATGAAAATACAATGTGTTTTCCTTATATGACTTGGCATAAAGAAACCTTTCAATGCCTTTGATCTTTTCGTGTCTAACAAAGGCATTCTCTCTCGGGTCCAGTGCTATAGGCCCATGACTCTCTGGGAGTACAAAACCCTTCCCTCTTCTCGTCCTAAGTACAGGAATTCGCCATCATCGTTCTATTCTACACTACTCCGGAGTCAAGCATCCACATTTCACAAGATACCTAAATGCTACCCGATTGTGTGAGTCTTGCAGCCCATCTACCATCATGCCAGACGATGCTCATAGGTGGAATCAGGTTGCAGAGCTCCTTGGAGGACCAGTCGCAGATTTGCAGATCACTCCCCAGCCATCTGTAAGGTGCTATATAGGCCAATTTCTTGGTACTTCCTGGCCACTGGTTACAGTTAACCAGTGGATCAACGAGAACCACCTTATCTGGACGCTCTGCGCCGCCCTCGCAACACATGCCCGCGACGATGATTGGACACGCACGTTTGAGAACAACCACCGCGCCCAGTGGGACCAGATCCAGGAGAGTGTGGAGCAGGCCCAGGGCGCTGACAGATTTCTACTAGATATCCCATCCCCGCCTTTGTTGCTTGCTGTGTTCCGGAGCACTAGTAGGTCTCTGCGCCAGAACCACGCCATCATGGCCACACCTGCTAGTATCCGTTCCAACGGAGGTCTCCTGGACCTCTTGCGGTTTGTGTATAAAAAAGCGCACGGGCTGATTTGGGTACGGATGGCTTTAGGGCAAGTAGCACAAAGCACAACCTAACTTCGAGTCCAAGCTGTAGCTTGCTAGGTCTCTATTCCTAAAACAAAATATTTCGGGCAAAACAGTGTTTTCTAATATCCAAAAATAATAAAGGGCTGTGTAGACTGAGACTGGTCGCCTGATACTAAAAATAGCGGAAGCCAATAATCGCGTGTGAATTTGATAATGAAACAACTTACATTAGGCACAGATGAGAGTCAGTTGAAGTCAGGGTCTTTGTTTCAACGGTAATGGCTTATCATTCGATAATCTGGGTATCCAAGTAGGTTTGCCCAGCTGAGTACTTACATGTAACTTTACGTCAATATTCAGTCATTGCCTTGATCTTACGTGTCTATTTCTCGTATTTATGTCTCAGTTGAGCTTTTCAGCGAGTATATCTACGACAATTAAGGAGTATTTACACAGGACTTGAAGTATAAGAGGGTCGTCAACGCCATCGGTATACCTCGAACAGCAGCAAAGATTCAACCGCAATATCAAGAACAAAGCAACAAACATTAGTTTAGCAAAATGAAGACCCTCTCAATGTCCGCTCTCGTCCTGGCGACTGCCACCTTTACCCTCGCTGCACCCAGCCCTATGGTGCCCGTCCTAGAGCCACTGCAACTTACAAATCTCAACGCTGGCATCTATAGCACAACCCCCCCAGCAACATGCCTCCTCTCTTTTGCTCTCAAAGATCCAAACACGAACACAGACACCACATGCTCTGGTTACTGGTATGTTCCAGTTTATCTCCCATCTTTCTTCTCTCTACCAAGGCCACTTTATAGGCCCAAAGCTAAAAGGCATATAAATGATACTAACTTTTATACAGGTCAATTGGCATGGCTGGAAATAAGACCTACGACTGCTCCGACAAGGCATACCAGCTCCACCTCCCAGATGGAATCTATGATATTGAAAATATCAATCTGGGTGTCTCCCGCGCAGACGGCTCTGAGTCTGGTCGGGCAATTGTGAGTGGTGACTTGTGGAAATGTGAGAAGCAGGAGTATCCCAAGGCACAGTGCAAGTGGGATGGTATTTTCAGTCTCGATCTGGCTTCGTCTACTTGATTGGGGGTTTGTGGTATAGTACTAGGGCTGAATGGAATGTGTAGATATGTGGACATGTTATTTCAGTTCCTTTGTTCTGGTCTAATTTGGTTTAATTGGTACTTATCTCTCGCTTTGTTGCTTTTGAATATACTTCGATTTGTTCTCATCTTCTATCTGAGATACTAATGTAACTGATATATCCAGCAACAGGCTCGAGAGAGATGGGCTGTTTGTAAGAGCTTAGACACAAAATAATTCAAAGCCATATCTTAAGAAAGTTGAAAACAATCTCTACATTGAAGGTCAAGTCCATCGGGGCTCCAGAGGGCTGGCTCCAGAAAATATATGCTGACTCATCTCTCCCATTTCTTGGCGTTGCATACCTAAAAAGGTCTTGGCCTTCAATTCCGTCGATCTCAGTGGTTGCAAAAGTGGATTCTTCAGTGCATTGTCTCCATAGGCTCGCTGATGAAAAGGCTTGATGATTCAGCGGGGATGAACAAGCTCTTACCCCGAGCTCCAGTCACAATTGTCCCTATAATGACCGAAGGCTTCTTGACACCTGTAAGGAGTATTGCGACATTACTTTATGGACAACGCTACTGGCCCACGGGGCAGAAAGGGTCGGAGCGCTTGCGATCTATGCCGACACCGAAAGGTAATAATATCCACACTGCTCGTGTGACAGCCCCTAATCCGATTTCACAGATCCGCTGTGATAGAAAACAACCAGCCTGTGAGAATTGTCATATTGCAGGACTACCATGTACTTTTTCCCAACCTATATCCCAACATCGGAAAAGCACCCGACAGTAAGACTCCATATCATTGGCCCCTCTCTACCAAGCGCTTATGGGTACACAGGGAGCTTGCCGACACCAAAGCTCGGGTTCGGGAATTAGAGACGACCCTGCTCGGACTTAAGGAGTCCACAAAACAAAGCCACGAAAGGCTAGCTATCCCTTCTCCGAGCAGAGGCTCTTCTCCAGCGTCGCCTCGGCCCGTCTCCCAGGCGCCTTTGTCTTATTTGTCCGATACCCGTGATTTCGATACCGCGTTAGCAGCTTTCCAATGGCACATCTCGTATTGTGGGCTCGGGAGTGCTCTTTCTACCCAAAGGGCAGCATTTTACTCTCTCATTGAAGAGCAAACAGGTTGTACATTCAATGTGGATGACTTTTCTCATGAGGTCACCCAATCTTTCAATTTACAACAGCTCAAATCGACAAAAAAAGAGATTGGGATCAAATGGCCAAAGTCTGCTCTGGTCCAGCAGTGTTTGGATTATTTTGATAAAAATGGGCTCTATTCTATATTTCCAATTGTCGATGTTGAGGCCGTGCAGATTCTACTCAACGCAAATGTCTTAGACCGGCCTCCGAACATGACCCGTACTGCCAATCGGGCTTGTCTAGTTGCTTTTGCGGCAATGATCACCCATATCCACCGCCACGAGCGGGCTTTCGCCGGCGCTGACCCGGATGCTTATTTGCAGGCAGCGCTAACACTCCTTCCTGAAATGTTACTAGAGCCGCCTGATTTAAGAACCTTGGAAGCGGTGACAATATTAGTAAGTTCTTTGTGTGGCCCCTTGAGGTAGATCCCGTATTTCCCACGTCTCAAAAGCTTATATGAGGCTATAGATGCTCTACATCACCCCTCTCGGTAGACCCCAGGCAGGAGAACTACTTCTCGGCATCGCAGTGCAGCTCATCTATACCCTCGGGGCAAACAGAATACAAACCCCCAATGAGATACACAGGACCGACCAGCGGAGCCAACATCTCCGAGCTTTATTCTGGCATTGCTATGCCATCGACAAAGAGTTCTCTATCCGAAAAACCCAGCCACCCTTGATAAACGATGCCGATTGTGATCTAGATCTGCCTACAACATACGCCCAAGAAACCTCAACACGCCACTTTTACATGAAACCCCTGTCATCGAAGGAGCTTCTTTTCCCCTCAGACCTCCGCTTCTCTGTGCTCAAGTCCAAGATCTTCCGATTACTTTATTCAGTACACAGTCAGACACTACCGGAAGCTAGACGCCTTCAGCATATCCGTGAACTAGACCAAGAACTGAGCGACTTGAAACTGGGGTATCCCATCGACTGCCGGCCGGAAGCTTTCGCCACTGAGAGCGCACCAGACTATCTGTTCCATGATCTCAGTATCCGCGGTGTGAATATCCATTTGGAATATTACTACTGCCTCGGAAAGATCCATGGGGCGAGTAGTTCTTGCAGGATACCTTCTCCGCAGAGCTGGTCTCCTCTCCCATCTAGCGCAGAGCTGTGTTTTGAAGCTGCAAGGTCTTCGCTTATCTATATCTGGCGAGTCCGCCAATTCGTCAATGATCATACATTCTGGTAAGGGGTTCTACGCCTTTTCCTACGTGTTTATACTAATTCGTGGTTATTTTATATTTCAGGCTTCATGCGCAGTTTCTCCTCACGGCCGTTCTCTCCGTCTTCTGGTATCTCATCACGGTTCCAACTTCATCTACTTTCACAAGGGATCTCAATACCTTGGAGGATATTGCAAGGCTTTTGGCTCAGCTCAATAGACCGACGAATGATGGGCAGACTTTTCCGCCATTTTATTTCACACATGCTTTTGTTGAGAGGCTGATCTCGCTGGCACAGCATTCGCGATCTAGAGTTGCGGACACATGATAGGCTTATTCCAAGGTTTCAGGCACTTTTCTGTTGAAGGTGGTACTTTTGCATATACGAATAATGCTAGTAACCTTTTTCATTAAGTCTGTAACGTTAGGTTACTGTGGGAATCGTCCAAGTGTATATATGTAGATGGCTAATTGAATTGATCCTATTGAAACTCCATAGATAACATCTATTTTTAGACCACCTAGATATGAAGTGTAGCCCTTTATAGATATGGCTTTGTCCTTTTTATCCGGCATTTTTCCACCAATCCCAGTCGTTGAAGTATACATCTACTCTCCCCTCTTCTCCCTTGCATGTTTCCATTCACTTTGCTCTTCTCTTTATCTTTCCCTTCTCTTCGTTTATGTCTTTGTTCTCCTCTCCTTCATCACTACACGATTTTACCCTTCAGTGACAGGCAACGCAACTCCCTAATTACCAAGCGACCGAGCACTAGCTAAAATACCCGAAGCTGAGAATTCAGAATTTATTTCGAGTTCGCCTTTCTACAACCAGACTTTCTTTGAGTCATATGGCTTATCTTAACACTAACTGCATTGTAAATAGGGGAACTATTACAAGCTGGTTGGCATTATAAGTCATTAGTTTGCTACACTCTTCAACAGCCCGGCCGGGCTAGCTCAATCGGTAGAGCGTAAGACTCTTAATCTTAAGGCTGCGGGTTCGACCCCCGCGTTCGGCTATTCCTAAAAACCAAACCTGAGATTTCTTTTTTGCTCCTCTAATTTTTTCAGCTTTATAAAAAGGATGAATAGATAGATGGAGATGGACATTTTTTTTAAGCTTTGCTATGTCCATTAACGAATGTAAAATAAATCCACGGGTATTTAGCTGTCGTGTCGGCCATGGCTCATTTAAAGAGTCGCCTTAAAACATTTATTTGTTATATTTTCTGTTGGTGACTGGTGAAAGATATATATCTAGATCTGACGAGAAGGTTTTCTTAATCTCCATATTTGAAAATAAAAATTATATCGGTTATTGATGCAGCTAGAGCCGTCTCTTTCCTGTCAACTATGTACAATACGGCCCTAACACCAAGATAACTCAATCATCAGTCATATCATAAGGTACAAGATACACACGAAAGCCCGAAACACCTTTGTATCAGATGGGGAAATGTGGTGCCTCAAATTACATATAACACACTTTTACAGCTTCGTTCCCTCGCGTCCACCGTCACTGGGACGCCTAGGCCGAAGAGGCCCTAGGGTCTGACCAGCAGCATGGCTTGGCCCAGCCGCTGACGATTCGTTGTCTGTAGTGTTGGTGCGAACAGCTCCTCCCCGTGCCCCCTGGTGAAGGCGAGGGTTCATGAGCCACTGGACCTGCATGCGGACACTATTGACTGCCGCATTCGTGTGGGCTATATCTTCTTTGATGCGCAGGCATTCATTCATGATAGCCATGCTGGCGCGAGCATCTAGGTCTGTAATAGCATGCGAAAGTTGGCTGACCTCTTCCCGGAGAGATTCATGCAGCGAGAGCAGATAGGTAGTGGCATTGGATGAAAATACACTCGCAGCAATATCAGCAGGATCATCTGTATGGACGTCGGCGCGAGCGGGGGATTGCTGCTCTCGCCCAGATTGGGTAGGTTGTCCACCGCTGTTACTGTTTGCGCCTAAGCGTGTGGATTCGACAAGAGTGGCTCGAATGTTTGCAAGCCCATCCTCGAATATCTCATTCCGCTGTTGCAGATGTCGCATACTTGATTCAAGGGACTTGAGCCGGGTATTTTGCGTCTCAAAGTATGGGCCCATTGCGACTATAGGGCAGCTTTGCTCATGTGTTGCAATATCTGCCCGTCGTACCTTAACGGGACATGCGTATTTGGACGCCGTGCAGGGAATTGCAACCTCCGGACATGATTCAATGTGCTCCCGCAGTGCCCCTTTAGTGACAACTGTTTCGCAGTCGACACATGTGACTTCAAGAACTGGACAAAGCTCTCTCTCATGCTCCTAGCATAGGCGTTTCGGGTCAGCATCTATAGGATCTTGGAGAATTTCGAAAGCCCAACGAACCTCGTATTCATGCTCTAGAACATCTTCTTCGCAATGAGAGCACCGTCGCACCCTATGAATACACTTCTGATCCATCCCAACGTCTTTGCTTCGTGTCATCTGATCGCATGAATCATCCGGACACGGCAATAGCCGGTACCCACAGTACTTCTCGACATGCGACTGGACATGACCTCTGGGTATAATTTCCCGACAGCCCTCCTCTATCAACGGACATCGCACTCGGATCTCGTCGCACATGTTGATCAGCAGGCGGGGCACGCTAGCCGACACCTCCTGGGTGGGATTTCGGCAAGAAGGACACGGGAACTCCTCCGAGTCGGCCGAGCGGAATGTGGTGATAGCCGAACTGAGGCAACTCCCGCAGAAGACATGGTCGCATTGTAGGCGAACGGGTTCAACGAAGGGACAGTGGCATATCGGGCACATAAGGTGCGAGTCGTACTCGGAGACGAGGTCAAGGCTGCGAAGGTCGATTAGCTCGTCGCGGTCGCGGCTTTCCTCCATTGCCAGGAAGTCTTGTAAATTCATGTTGCGCTGAGTTGGAGCCTATCGCGAGGCCCAACAAATAATGCAAGGTACGGGTTGTTATTCCCTACGTTGTTGCTTGGAATGCGGAATCAATGCGCGGGTTCATGCAGCTTCGCGCTAGATACCGTAGACCGAATAGTTTAAATCCATGAGGATGACACTCAGAAAGCCATAAGTTGAGCGATCGGAAGCAAATGCTTGCAAGACATAGACATGTTAAGATTTCCGAGCTGAAGAGAAGGACTGCGGGGGAATCCAGAGGCAAAGGCGGAAAGCGGTTGATCCGCACTTGTTGCCTCCACTTGTGATTCCTCGTCTTACCATCTCCACCTTCAACCCTCGTAACATCTCAGTCTGACTTTATTATTGCTTGGCTGATCGGAGGTCTTTCTCCGTATTGACCGTCCAAACGCCTGCCATTTATATATCTGAACACTCTGACATTTTGATCTCGCACACCTCATCATGACGAACCCTGCGCAGCTATTCCTACTCGCCGACCACATCAAATTATCGCTTTTGGAGCGCGAAAGGGCAATATCACTCGACCTCGAGCCCAATTCCCAAGATGGAGAGATCTCAATGTCTCTCGAGTCTCTCCGAGAGAGCATAGAGGCCCTGGAAGCCGAACAAACCCGGCTAGCCAACTCGCACGACAGCGCAGGCGCCGCCGCCCTGAAAGACCAACTTAGCCCCCTCCAAGCCCAATACAAAGATCTTTCAACCCAGTTCTACGGTGCAGATGGCGAACCATCGGGCGACACGACGCAGGCGTCGAAACCCGCCACCCCCGATCTCAAGCAGCCCATCCCCCAGCATCCACCGTCCAAATCCGTCCGCTTCATGGACAGCTCCGTCACAGCGGCAGCCGTGCAAGAGATTGACGAGGAAGATGAGCGCAACCGCAGCAACCTCTTCCACCCATACCGAGATGAGCCATCGCCGCGACCGGATCAGTCGAACATGGACAACCAGCAGATTTACGATCATCACGCTCAAACCATGCGCGAACAGGATGACCAGCTAGATCGGCTGGGTGAATCAATTGGCAGGCAGCACCAGCTGAGTATTCAGATTGGGGATGAGCTGGACGGCCACGTTCAACTACTGGATGGAATGGATGGGGATGTCGAGCGTCATCAGACCCGACTGGACGGTGCGAGACGGCGGATAGATAGGATCCGTCGAAAGGCAGGCGATAACTGGAGCATGATGACCATCATTGGATTGATCATTGTTCTGGTCATCTTGATTGCGATCCTGAAATGATCGATACGGGTGGATAATTGGAGGCTGTTCTTTCATCGCTATTTCTTATTACTCCTTTTTTTTTGGACAAGCGGGCGTTTACAACTTACTCAACACGGGACGATTGATTCTCCCGATGTTTTTTTTTTTTTTTTTCACAGTGACTCGAGGCGTTCAGGCAATCGAGTCGCTCCTAGACTCCTGGTTGGATTATTGATCATACTACATATACAAGCCTACAAGCCTACATGCCCACCCCTTGATCATAACTCCCTTCCATATCTAATTATCTGCTTCAAGGGAGTGTAGTATCAATTGTATTGACGAATGCGATAAACTCCAATAAATCACCATAAAAGCCTCCAACAGCCTTACTCGCAGACTGCCCTAATAAAATACACATAAACGAAGTTCGTGATCGAAATTTTACACTAAAGACCCATAACTTTCACTTATTGCTTGACCTTCTCGCTCCGAACATGTTTCGTCTTCTCCTGCATCTCCTTGAAAGTGACGTCGCCATCTAACTCGCCGCGATCCGCTTTGACCTGAATCAAACATGTTAGCTTTGATGGAAGATGAACTCTAGGGGTCCATGCTTACTTCGGCCTCGCTTTCACTAGCCAGCTCTGACTTCCACTGCCCCTTGCCTACTTTGCTGCCCTTGAGACTTTCTTGCTTGTGATATTCGTAGTGGTTGGGGAGGTCCTCGCGGTCTGTTTGTGGTTAGTATGGCTGGGAGAAGTTGGTGATGGTATACTGACTTTTATCATTCTCCTTCAAGCTCCGGGCTGCTGACGAGTGGAATGTGGCAGCTGGCACAGCAAAGTTGGTCCGCATAGCTTGGCGGGTGGAGGCACGAATGGAGGGGAGGAATGACATAGTGATATGATGTAGGTGTTTAGATAGAATGGTAAGTGTTTGGACGAGTTTGTAGGTTTGGATATATGAAAAGGTATTTGAAATCAAGTGGAACTCTCTTCCGGGGGTGTACGGGATATTTAAGGGAGATCTTCGATGTGGTTCTGCCGTCACGCTCTCTTGTCTTGATGCTATATGACATCATCGGATGAGTGGGTCTGAGGTTTAATATCTTCGACCTTGGAAGTTACCGAATACAATTGACTTGAGACATTTAGAAGACTATTCTGAACCATTTTAAGCTTCAAATCATTGAGATCTTTTGGCATTGGTGAGTAGTCAGTTCTCCTACGCAGGATCCCCGCATAACAGTCATTGGTACAAGTGTGGAGACGGATGTTCTCCTGAACTTGATATTCTTGATTTTCTTGATTTTCTTGATTTTGGAAGATAATCATAATTCGATCCGAAGCCTCTAGACAAACTACTTTTAATATCATGTGAATAGTACCTCAATCGCGAGATGGGAGCTCTGGAGGGGTAAAGAGATCCTTGAGGCCTCCCCAGCTCTCTTCGCTATACCCTTTCTGTACTTTCTGACATGTCTTCAATCCCCAATCTGTGATTCCAACCATATAGCAGCTCTCAAACATGAAAGCCATGCTTCCAGTCCCAACCTTAACTGGAATCAGCTCTTGGTTACTAGCTTTGTCAAATGCCTCCGCGTCTGGCCCATGACTGCTCATGCAGTTGTGAAGACTTGCCCCTGCAGCTTGGAACCCACCTGAGCCAGCCCCTTTCGCAATATAAGAGCCCTCAATGAGACCCATAAACTCACTCATGCAGTTTCGATGGTATGAGGGTGGCCGGAAAGTGTCCTCGCCGACTAACCACCGAGGAGGGAAGATAACGAAGTCGGCAATGGCTGTACCGGGGTGAGCATTTGAGTTGGCCGTGAGGACGGTATTCAACGAAGGATCTGGATGGTCATATGAGATGGTTCCGATAGTATTGAATCGACCCAAGTCGTACTTGTACGGATAGTATCTCCCCTCCCAAGCCACGACATCAAACGGAGTATGGCCTTGTTTACTAGTAAACAATTGCCCACAAAATTTGTTGACTACCGTCCATGTTGACTTTGAGTCGTGTGTATATGCCGCCACGGGAATCTGGAAGTCGCGGGCGTTGGCCAGGCAGTTTGACCCAATGGGGCCGAGTTCGGGTAGTTGGAAGTGTCCATTGAAAAGTTCAAGGATGTATCCGCGGATAGGCTCGTCGTTGACAAGATTAACACGATACCTGATTCCGCGCGGAATCACGCAAATCTCGTCGGGGCGTACCAAAAGCCGGCCCATCTCAGTCTCGATATCTAGTGCACCGGTTTGGGGTACGATGAGCATGTCACCATCTGAATCATACATTGCGGTTTTCTCGTTCATGGATTTTGTTGCCCCGTAGATGTAGTAGGCGACACCGTTCTTCAAAGCTGGGTCGCCTGACCCTGCGACCATGTGAAGACCTTCAATCCAATCAACATCCGCGTTGATGTCAAATGGATCCCACCGTAGTTGATTGGGGATTTGGTTGAATTCGGTCTTGAGTCTATTCCCAGATGGGGCTGGCTCAAAGGATGAATGAGCTGCGGATGGAATGATGCGGTAAACCCATGTTTGCTGGTTTTCCCACCGAGGCGCCGTGAATGCGGTGCCTGAGATCTTTTCGGCGTAGAGACCGTATGGGCACTTTTGGGGAGAGTTTTGTCCAATTGGGAGCGCTCCCTTGATTGCCTCTGTTCTATCTTATTGTAAGTAACTTGTCAATTCTGGGGACATGGTGTCGCTGACTCTAGATTCGCTGCAAACCCCGTCTGATACTCGTATCTCTCGGGAATGGGGAAGTTGGTGACTGGCATTGTCTCGTCCTGCTGCTGTTGGAATATGGCAGCTTGAAAGAAAATATGTATAGTTGAAAATCAGTCCAAGATCTGACAGTGCTTAAGTACTTTGGATAATTCTACGATCAATTATTCAGCCCCCAATTACAATTGGAGGAAACATCGCAGGTCATCCGACGGATGTGCCATTTGACGATCATCGGATGAACCGATGCGGGACTACGTAGAACTTCATATCCAGGTGGAGTGACTACTTAGAAATGTGATTCCATTGTATAATATAGAATAGAACCGATACTCAAGCCATAGTTTGTCATTTGTATTTCCTTACTGCTTCCAAGTGTTCGACAATCCCTTAACCTCAACTCATTCAAACCATCAATATGAGTACTGCAAGCTGGCTCAAAATTCCTTCGGGATCCCACTTCTCACTGGCAAATATACCATTCGGTATTATCACGACGCCTGCATCAGCTGAACCTCACGGTGCCATCGCCATTGGAGACCACGTTCTTGATCTATACACCTTCGCGATTAACATCGGGTTTGCAGCCCTCGAGAATTTTACCCCAGAAAACGCGAAGCTTTTCTCCTAGTCGACATTGAATGATTTTGCTGCCACTGGATAAGCCTTCCACCGCTCCATTAGAGGATATCTCCAAGATGTCTTTGCACTTGACACACCTGTCTCTCAAGTCCTCAAGGACAACAATATTGTGAAAGAGGCTGCATTGTTCCACAAGAAGGACGTCAAAGTCTATATTCCCATGAGTATCGCGGGGTATTCAGATTTCTTTGCCGGAAGAAACCACGCCTACAACTGCGGCTGTATCTTCCGCGACCCCCAAAAGGCGCTCCAAACCACCTCCACCTCCCTGTTGGCTACAACTCGAGGGCATCCTCTGTTGTGGTATCTGGAACCCCGATCAGACGACCTCTGGGCCAATTCTTGGCAAACAAAACGGATACTGCCCCCCAGTTTGGGGCATGCAGGAGACTTGATATCGAGCTCGAACTGGGAGCACTTTTGTGCAAGGGCAATGAAATGGGTGAACTGATCCCAGTTGATAAGGCCGAAGAGTATATCTTCGGCTTTGTTATCTTGAACGACTGGTCAGCGAGAGATATTTAGGCGTGGGAAGCCGTGCCTTTAGCCCCTTTAACGCGAAGACTTTTGCCTCCAGCATCAGTTCCCATGGTGCCTAATCCACGGGAATGCCATTATTGAAGATAGATAGCAAGAGCTATGACATTCCATAAGTTGTCAAGACTATAATTAGGCCGAAAAGCGTAGAAGAGAGCTATTAACCGGCGATGTCATTTCAAGAAGACGGAACTAGACACATAGAACAGTGAAGGCAATCAATCTTGTCGACCTCTTCGGGCATTCCGTCGGATGTGCCACCGGGGGTACCGCTTGAGCACTCAGTAAATTAAACACCAGTCCATCAGCCGATATTCATGGCTCTTTCCATGAATTACTAATGAAAATTTTAAACAAGTAGTATTTAAAATAACAAAAGCACACTGTCTGGGGTTAATAGCATGAGATACGAACAGCTTGAATCATGGACATTTCCAACTCTATTTCTCCTTCCGGTGGTCTTGTACTTTCACAGTTAAAACCACTTTTAAGCTCAACGGGTATTACATCAGTCCTGTGTGCACTAGTCGTGTTACTGGTGCTTTTCTCCCTTGACACCACCGATGTGCCGTATATTCGTGGTCTCGCCTCAGCTCCTGGGGTACCGATATTCGGAAACCTTATCCAATTAGGCGTCGAACACCCCAAGCGTCTCGCCGAGCTTGCTAAGAAATATGGAGCTGTCTACCAGATCAGACTGGGCAATCGAGTATGTCGACCCTCAGATATCATCATCCTTCTACTAATCTCTATCTAGCGATTCGTCGTAGCAAACAGCTTTGAGACTGTGAAGGAACTCTGGATCAAGAACCAATCTAATCTCATTTCTCGGCCTAAGCTACACACGTTTCACAATGTGTTGTCAGGATCCGAGGCCTTTACCATTGGTACTTCACCATGGGATGACTCTTGCAAGCGTCGCAGAAAGGCCGCCGCGACAGCATTGAACCGACCATCCGTTGCATCATATATGCCTTTGATTGACCTGGAGTCTCTCGTGAGCATTAGCGAACTTGTCAACCAGGTTCGTGGAAAGAAGGACCAGGTTGACCTAAATCCATATGCTCTGTTCCAGCGTCTTGCGCTGAATCTTAGCTTGACGCTTGGCTATGGTTTCCGTATCGACGGAGACTCTGGAGACAAATTGTTGACTGAAATTGTTAATGTCGAGCGCGGTATCAGCACGCTTCGCAGTACCAGCAACAACTGGCAAGACTTTGTCCCCATGCTGAGGATTCTTCCTAAAGGAAACGATATCGCCGCAGATTTGCGGGTTCGCCGTGATAAGTATCTCGAGTTTCTTCTAAAGAGGCTTAAGGATCACATTTCTCAGGGAACCGACAAGCCTTGTATCACTGGAAACATTATGAAAGACCCAGAGTACAAGCTGGACCATGGTAAGATAGAAGCTTTTGCAAAAACCAAGTATAAAGGAATATCAAGCTGATCAAATTATTAGCGGAAATCAAGTCAATCTGTCTAACAATGATTGCCGGTGGCCTTGATACAACTCCAGCGTGCATTCAATTCGGCACTGCCATGCTATCTGGCCCCCAAGGCCCAGAATTGCAGAAAAAGCTGCTGGATGAAATAGAAACAGTGTATCCGAACAACGATGCGTGGCAGAAATGTCTAGAGGAAGAGAAACTGGAGTATATGTCTGCATTCTGCAAAGAAGTTCTCCGATTCTGGACAGTTATCCCCATGTCTCTTCCCCGCGTCAGTATAAAGGATATGGATTACAAGGGCGCGTTAATCCCCGCTGGAACAACCTTCCTAATGGTACGTACAATACCTTCTTCCATACCCAAAGCTACAAGTTCAAACATGCGCTGACTCGGACCTAGAACGCCTGGGCGGCTGATTACGACGCCGAGCGATATGAATCACCAGAAACATTTACTCCTGAACGCTTCCTCAACATGGCCGAGGGATCAGGAACTCTACATTTTGCATTTGGAGCCGGCTCTCGAATGTGTACAGGCTCTCACTTGGCGATGCGGGAGATGTATGTCACTTTCGTGCGTCTAGTGGTCGCCCTTGAGGTTTTACCCGCGAAGGATCCATCCCGAAGACCCATTTTATCAGGCCCGCTCGAAGGCAATGCCAACCCCTCGGGTTTGTCTATTGAGCCTAAGGACTTTGAGCTTGGTTTCAAAATTAGAGACACGAAATTACTGGACTCATGGCTTGAGCAGTCTGAAAAGGCCACAAAGCATCTTGTTTGAGATGTAGATATAATGAGTTTTCAGTTTGAGTCAATGGAGGCTAAACGGACTACTTAGAGATAGTAAAATGATTTTAAGAGCTCCGAAGCTTTGCAAAATGTTTTATTCTGAGGACTCACTTTCCAGCACATATTTATGAAAGAAATGTAATATGAAAATCTCTATATCTTATAGCATCTCAGACGAATGTCTAAGTACGAAGCGGTATAGCTATCAGGGTAAACTCCATTGCAGGGACTTTGAGAAAAGAGGTATCCATAGAGGTCTGTAAAGTACGCAGGTTGAATCGGAATTTTGCTGGCTGAATTCTGTATTTCTCATTCAACTCTGGCGCATCAAGCGCCTGGTCTCTTGACACGTTGCCAATGATGACAGGGTTACCTTGATGACCTGAGGACTGTCACTGGCGCCATTGATGAGGACTTGGATTGGGAGGTACATTCCGAGCTGTTTTATCCACAATGAAAACTGTTTATAGCTTCGAGTTGAGAAGTTGGAGTCCCGACGAGGCTAGGACGTGGGGCCCCGCATTTCTCTAACTTTCCGCCTTTTTCTCATTCCATCCAATTCTCTTCCACTCTGTCTATAAGACAGCTACAATGCACGGACATGGGAGACCAAAACGTCTAAGAGCCCTTCAGGCATGCGAGCTATGTCGCGCGAGAAAGAACCGTTGCGACGAGGAGCAACCTTGCTCCTACTGCGTTGGTGAGTCGCAAATCATAAACCTCCGCTTCATTCCCTGGTACCATTAGCCAATCATAACATGCAGAACGTGACCTTGAGTGTGTGTATTCCAGGACAAGTCGTGTGAGAAAACGGATCAAGCCGTATGTCCTCGACCCCCGAGAGTCCAAATCTAGCGCATGACTGACATCAACGGCTCAAGATCTATGGAGCCAAACCAAAACGCAGCCAGTGAGGTCAATCAGAGTTCCAAATTGACAATGGACAATGTTCAGATCCCCTCAGATAGGGCTATAAATGGGATATCTTTCGATGAGACTGGAGTATCATCCACACCTGATCCAGTGACCAGTGGTATCAACAGAGCTCGGGGAGGGGCCCAATCACCACCCATTTTGTCATCCGCTCAACCATCTGTGAGACGTAGTCTCTCATTATCCCAGCATCCAGCAGCCCCGTTTACCGAGATTGTGGATACAAATCTGCACACAAAAAGCCTCGAGTTCTACGGCGCCTCTTCTTCCGTGGCTTTCCTTCGACACGTCGATGATATATCAGGCAATGATACTAGCGAGCAACTGGTGGGGAGAACAGAGCCTTCATTGGCTTCTATGCTGCACAACACTAATTTTCAGCCATATTCAACCCCGAGTATCGTGTCGGGCATTAGCGAGGGCAGCAACAATCGCTTTTACTTTCGAGTGGGTAGAAAGTTTCTGGATGCCTACTTTAGCAATATTCACTGTATTCAGCCTATTTTTGACCAAGAGGAGTTTCTGACTCGTTGTGAGGATTTATGGTTTGGCAAGCTTGAGAGGCCGCCTGTTTCGTTTGTCGCCCTATATTACGCAACCATGAGTTTAGGAAGCCTTGTGATGGTTTGGGACGAAGGAAAAATATACGGCGGAGATCGTTTCTCGTGGAGCCGAAAGCTTTTCAACCAGGCTCTTGGGATTGTAACGCAGCTGGGATCGGGGACAGATTTAGAGATGGTTCAGTGCTACTATATGATGGTAGGCCACAATCCTCTTTATTGGTATCAAATTACTAACTGCAGTCCACATCCAGGGAAAAGTATGTCAACACGAGCTAAATCCACATGGTATTTATGGCACCCGGTATGTAATACTTTTCTGGGCTAATCAGAGAATCATAGTGGCATATTTGTACTCTGGACAAGCCACCAGAACTGCTTTGGCAATTGGACTGAACCGCTTGCCTTACGGGAAGCCGTCTGACTCCATGTCGTCTACTGCAGCAGCGAAGACGTGGTGGTAAGTTTTGAATCGAAATGCATTCCTCAGTCCCAGACTGACTCAATTAGGGCCGTTTATTGGCTTGATATGTAAGTTTGTACAATATCTCAACAGGAATAAGATCCAATTGACACACAACAGACAGACGAGCTTTGCACTTGGTAGGCCGGACAGTTTAGGCCCCGATGAATATCACACCCAGGATATTCCGGGAACTTTGGGGCCTTTCGAGGGAGACCATGCTACGAGCAGTCTCCATGTGCTACAGGTTGTTCCATGCATGGTAAAGCTGGCAAGAATCATGCGAAAAGTCAGCCTTAGACTGTACAGTCTACCCTGTCCCTTGAGGGAAGAGCTCTCTCGGGCAACAGAGTTGGACGCGCAGCTGGACTGCTGGTTCCAATCAATTCCTTGCCATTTGAAGCCGGAGAACACGACTGCTCAGGTATCACCCCTGAAGCGCACAGGGACAGCAGGTTTTGTCAAGAAGCAATCGGTCGTGTTGATGACACGTACGAACAATCCAGTCTCCTTCATCCCGAGACTCTTGCTAAACCCAGACCTAGGCTACTACAATCTTCGGATGATAATATTTGGCAAGTCCTTGGCAGTAACCGAGGGAACTGAAGCGGACATACCGGCAATCCGTGAATGTCAACAGATATGCATTGAATCTGCGGGTCAAGCAATTGACCTTATCTATGATACGTTTCGAAACTACGACTTCTTCCAAACATGGTACGTACATTTTACGCCTTTTTTCTGCTTGGAGCAGCTCCTAAGTAATCCCTTTCCAATAGGTGGTATAATTCAACGTATATATTGTTCGCAGTTAGTGTTCTCCTCACGGGCATTTTCCGCGGTTTTGCGCAGGACAAAAAGGCACTCGATACGCTTTTCCAAAAGGTTGATCGTGCAATTGCAATTCTGGATGTTCTGAGCGAGTGTGTGGTGACTAGAAATGCGACTATTATCATCAAAAGAACGCTCGCTCGGGCAAAGAAAGGTTCAAAAGGAGAGCCTGACGTGCAGCAAAGGTCTTCCACTACACAGGCCCAAAATGACCGGCAGGGTTCCACAAGTGATGGATTTCCCTCGGATTGTGCAGCCGATTTTTCCGAGATAGATGATACTAACATTGATTGGGCAAATCTTGAGTTGCCTATGGATGACTGCCAGCAAGCTCTGTTTTGGGTTGAATGGGGGCATCTTCTGAATGACTTGGGTGCGTAAGAACCTCAAATTTGGGACTTGGAAAGTCTTCAAATAACCCTCTATCATCCACTGTCAAGTCAGCTAGCCTTTCAGCTGTTTCATGGTATAGTCAATGCATAATTTCTGAAATCCTTAATCATTCACAGTGCGTATTAGAAGAGTGCAGCTTGTCTTAGAATCGATTCCATCGACGTAGAAAATCTGTTTCTCTTGCAACTCCAGCATCCCAGCCCACAAGCGTTCTATGTAATATGATTGGAGATAACAGATAGAAATGCTACCTGGAAGGATCTGACCAAGAGAGAAAGAAAAGGAGAGTGAGGTGACAAATTCCAAACTTCCATATCTGAATGGCCCCGACATAATAATGCCCGAGGTATTAGAAGACTGTTCAGCTTCCGCCGGATGTGCCGCCGGCTCAAATCCCCGGACCTTCCCCACAAGTACCAACGCCACAATATGGGGTCCCCGGATATGAATTCAGATCAAGATACAGCAAGGTCTAGAATCGAGGTTAAGTTCAATTATGTTCTTTTGGATTCTAGGTTTTGCTGCACTATTCTATCAGTTTAGACATGGATAACCGGCAAGAGAAATCAGCTTGTTTTGACTCGCAAAGTGATCACGTCGAAGATACCCAAACCCTAGATCCAGAGGTGGAAGACTTGAATGATCCTCGCAATTGGCCGCAATGAAAGGTAACAGGTCCCCAAAGTAATGTGCATAGGCTCTGATGGCTGATAGTATTTAATACAGAAAGAAATCAACTTCGGCCTTTTGACCTTCCACTCATTGATGACGGATTATGTAGGAGCTGGTATCATTCCAGCCTATACCATCTTTGCCGAGGAATTCGGTGTCACTGTTTCTGAAGTCAGCTATTTTACATCAATTCATGCTAGTATTTGGAGGCTCCATATCCTAATGCTAATCTGAAAGCAGATCCTGGAAAATAGTTCGGCGAGAAAAAAGGATAACAATCTATATTTAGTATTTCGAAGCACTCTATCAAATAAATATGACTTAACTGGAGACAAAACCGGCAGCCAAATCACCCCCCCAAAAAAACACTGCTCCATAAATTACGCAGAGCAGTTGACGGAATCAATTTAACCGGACGAAGCGTAGTTCGATGTAGGTTCGTCCAACGCCATTTCTGTATCTAGGTAATCTTGGTGTTCAATATCAAACCGGATCTGCATGATAGACTGCTTCCAGACAACGATTCTGGTGATACGACGTGTACCTCTGGGAAATGTCGACAAAACAAGAGCAGCTACTCCTTTCCCAAGCTCTGTGCCTAGAATGGCATGATATTCGGGGGTATCATACGCCCAGGCCAGTTGATTTACTGATTCTTCAGATAGCTGGAACCCAGGGGAATTGTCTGGTTGAGTTTTAGCCCAAAGTGTGTGTATAAAGTCTCTGGTATCCTCATTAACAACGTTTTCGAGATAGATGTGTCTCAAGGTATTCTGGTCAAAGTGAGCATTGTACTGTGCGTGGGCGACTTGACTCCAGTAAGGTCCATCGTATCTTTCAACTTTTCTAAGAATAATAACTCCCATTGCAGTCGTGACATGATGGACGTTAGTTCCACTCCCTCTTTTTGGGTGCGGCTTGGCTGCTTTTTTTGTGATCTTGACATCGTGGTAAGACTGATCACCCGTAGGCAGGCGACAATTCCTGAGATCACCTTGAAGCACGAGAGGACCAGGTCCCCAGCGGTTGAAAGTTGCTGTCCATCTTTGGGACCGTCTTTTACTATGGGTCAAGTCCTTATATTCGAAAGATAGTGGCTTGACTGTGCAGTTAGGCTCATTTGCATCATCGATCCATCTTTGTCGCAACTCTCCCCACATCTCGCGCTCGCCGTACTGATAACGGTCGGATGAGGAGGCACCCTGAGAGGATGGGACCACGGGATTAGTAACAGGAATGGCGGGACCGGGAATGGTTTGTAGCTCGATAGGGGCATCGGCATCAGCTGCAGGCTGAGGACCCCAGCTGGGGGATCTGTGGCGGCGGCAGAAACCGAAACAATTCCAGGGACAACAACCAGACATAATTATGAATATATTGGATAGGATGTATAAGACTAGAGTATTGAGTATCGAATATTGAGTGGAATATTGAATGATGAATGATGAACTTGTACTTGTCTGTATACCTAGAGACGACCCCGAGGATTATATAGATGTGAGCCGAGTAGGTGGGATACCTCGATTGTGAGTATCGCTTTCAAGTATACATAAAGAGGACAAGAAAAGAAACATTGTGCACAAAGGGTCGATACGAATATCAGCACTCGAACAAGGTAGACAATAATAGAGGAACTACGCCCATGATCCCAAATGGACAAGAAGTGGACAAAGAGGTCGAAGTCGAAGATAATGAGAACAACGAGCACACCAAGTGCGACGGAAATAGCTTATCGACAAAGAGAACATTGTAAACATTGTAAACCTTATAAACCAACAGAAGAGCGTAGACAAAGAAGTCGACTACCAAAATTTGAGGTCAAATATAGAAATCATTAGCCCAGTATGAATCTATTCCAGCCAATTCTGGACTTCTGGCATTTGGGACGTCGACTTGAACTGCAAACTTATATTCGCCCCAAGCTAGTATCTGCTATTATTGCCTACGACGTTGTATGCCTCTTACAGTATTTGACCTTGGATAGATATCACCTTTTGAGCTGCTGTCAGGTCTTGATCCAAACACCAAGACTTCATGTTAGAAGTTGTCTAAGTACTGGATTCTTTCGAGTTGAACATATTGGTTATAATATATTGTGCCGCAGGTTAAATGAAGATGCAAGTCAAGCTTGACACGAGAACTTTGTTTATTCTACCCCTGAGCTTGATTTGAAGTGATAACTATTTCTCCGAGACTTCCCCTGTCTCCATACTCTAAGAGAAAAGGGGAAATGACACTGCCAATCATTGTCAATCAACTGCACATGTGAATTAGCGTTTAGCGTAGATTGTAACGTTTATTCTTGGCGTAAGTCTTAGAGTGAATCATCTTATTTGGCTAAATTTATGCAGGCTGATTAGGTCCTATATATATTCTCTGACCTTAGAAACACTTGTCCACATCTCCCTCTATTACTTGCTTGAGGATAGAGTACACCTTGAACAGCCAAGGTAGCATCTTTCCCATTCAACTTGGATTTATACAGAACCCCCTTTAAGACGGTTTTTACCAGGTATAGGAACAATAAGCATTCGTTATAACGATGAGATCCCCGAGGTTGCCAAATTAACCATTTAATTAGGCTTTCCAAGATGAAGACCATCCTCCTAAGCGTCCTCCTGCCGACATTAGCCAGCGCAGCTGCAACAAACGGTAAATTCACTGCGCTAAGCTTCAATGTCGCAGGTCTGCCGTCGATTTTCCAGTCGAACGAAGTCAATGGCACAAAACCCGAAAATGCCAAACAGCTCGGTACCTACTTTTCACAGTATGGCTACGATATCATCAATATGCAGGAGGTATCACCAAGCCCAGTCTTCCTAGTACGCCAATTGATCTAACAACGCTCTAGGATTTCAATTACCATGCCTACATCTATGAAGCAGATGAACACGCTTACCGGACCGCTACCTCTGGGGGCGCAGCCATCGGAAGTGGTCTGAACACCATCTCCAACCACGACTGGGTAGATTTCGCACGCGTGAAATGGAACACATGCTCCGATGCATCCGGCGCAGACTGTTTGACCCCGAAAGGACTCACATTCATGCGCTGGAACCCGGCTGATGGAGTCTATGTTGACTTTTACAACATCCATGCCGACGCTGGGTGAGTAGAACTTATTCTTACATTGTAGTCGAGTTAAAGATTGACTCTCACCAAGCACCGAGGCCAAGGACGAGATTGCCCGAAACTCCAACTTGCAGCAAGTTGCAGATTACATCGACACCTGGTCGACTGGTAACGCCGTCGTAGTCATGGGCGATACGAACAGTCGATATACGCGGGCTGATGACACGGGAATCCGCGTCTTCATGTCTCAGAATAGCCTCGCAGACCCCTGGGTTGAGCTTGAGAAAGATGGCGTCTACCCCACAGCTGGGGCAGATGCCTTGCTATGCGACAACCCGTCTTCTATTCAGACCTGCGAGACGGTTGATAAAGTGCTGTACCGGGGGTCTGACATTGTGACCCTCAAGGCAGACAGCTTCATTTATGATGGTGGGAAGTTCACAAACACTGACCCCAAGTACCTGGGCCAGATTCTCTCGGATCACAACCCGATCCTTGTGAACTTCACCTGGTCGCTTTCGTCGTCGCTGCGACAAAGTCAGTTCTCCGGTGGTCCACACGGGGCGTGGTTTAATGATCTGCCAAGTGTGCCTTCGTCGCCTGCTGCTTCTGTGATTACTTTCTCTGGTGGGAAGAGGCTGGATGCTGTTGCCTTGAAACTGAAGGATGGCACATCGTTTAGCCATGGAGGAACTGGTGGCACTAAGGTCTCCCTTACCCTGGATTCTGGGGAGCATTGGACGGAAACCAAGCTCTGTACTGGGCAGTATAATAGCCACACTCGCAACTTCTATATCAAGGCTACCACCAGTGCTGGTAAAATTTTGGAGGCGGGCACCTCGACTGATAATTGCCAGACGTTTACTGCCCCCGATGGCTTTGCGGTTGTGGGTTTTATGGGACAAGCCGAGGACGAGATCGATCAATTGTCTTTGGTATATGCAGCTTATTAAAAGCGAAGGAAAGCGATTGATTGAGATGTGAATCCAAATTTGTGGTGAATATGCACCCGTTCATCTGCCATTTTGGCCAATCGTATCAAGTCATGGTTTATGCTATGTATGCCCCAAACGCCGAGGTATTCCGCAAAAAATGTTACCCATATGCACCGCGCTGTATAAAGAAATCCAAAACGAAGGAGCACTTCAATCACTCCTTTCCTCTGGGAGAACATCATCTGGGTCCTCGCCAACCGCTTGTCCTACCAAGCGCACTACTCGCTTGATCGCCTTGGACGCGGGACTGTCCGGGAAGTTATCCACAAAGCTTTCGCCAAAGTCGCACGCCATGCCGACGCGGGGATCCAGAGGCACAGCACCTAGGAAAGGAATGCCCATTTTCTTCGCCAGCCGGCGACCCCCGCCAGTCGTCGCCCGGAATATTTGCGACTCATGGGTGCAATTAGGACAGACAAATCCAGACATGTTCTCTACCAAACCTAGCACCTTGATGCCAGCCTTGCGACAGAAGTCGACCTCCTTACGAACATCTAGCAATGAGACCTCTTGCGGGGTAGTCACGACAACAGCACCGTCGACGCCAGACTCCTTCAGCAAAGAGTTGACGGACAAATGCTCGTCAGAGGTCCCGGGAGGCGTATCAACAATCAGGTAATCCAGCTGGCCCCAATCAACATCCTTGAGGAATTGCTTGATCAGTCCATTCTTCTTGGGCCCGCGCCAGATCACCGCATCGTCACGGTTGGGCAGCATAAACTGCACGCTCATTGCACCCAGATTATCTGTCACCCAGACGGGACTCCAGCCGGCATTGCTGATGTGGATAGTCTCTGACTCCACGCCCATCATCTTGGGGATCGACGGCCCGCAGATATCCGTGTCCATGATGCCGACGGTGGAGTCTGGGTTGGCGGCGAATGCGTGTGCGAGGAGGGTTGAGAATGTAGATTTGCCAACTCCTCCCTTTCCGGAGAGGACTAGAATCTTGTGTCGTATTTGGGAGAGTCGTTCGGTGATGATTGGGATGTCAGGGTCGGGGCCTTTGGGCGCAGTGGCGCAGATCTGTTGGTTTGGGCAACCGGCACAGGCATCGCCTTGGCCAGCTTGTTCGGATTCAGGGCCTGGGCAGTGTTCTGTGAAGAGTTAGTGTGTGCATTGCGTCAATGGCTCTGTGCATGCGTACCTGGTTCGGGTGCGACAAGGTTAGGCGTCACCTTGGACGAGACTGCTAGAGACTCCTCGGCGAGCTCCTCCACATAGGGCGCCATTTTAAATTGCTGCTCTGTGTGGCAATAGAAAAGAGATCAGAAGATAAGAAGTTAAATGCAGCCGCAAGAAACAGAGAAATTCAAAGTCCGGTGGCGGATTGATGCTTGATAAGCGGGGGATGACTAAAAACCCGCTGCCATTGGCGGGGCAAGGCATATCTGCGGTGTCAGCGCCCTTGCAGGCGCAAGTGTATGGATGTCCAGAGTGAAATATTTCATTTGGTATGATAACTGCTGAAGCTATGGAATATTGGAGAATAATGAGGTATATCGTATAGTAAATGGACAAAGCAACTAAAGCATAAGGCATTGTTGGAAACCGGCCAACTATTTTTTATGTCCATTTGCCAAACCAACCAGATCTCCATATTTCAGTGTATTTGTTGTTGCGGTATACTGATTGGCTTCCGGCGAGACAGTCAAGATCATGGCTGAATGAGTATCAGTTGATGCCTCGAAGTGCTCCCGCAGCACCATAGTCAATGGAGAGGAACGGTATGGGATACGAGATTTCTTGCTCGATCGGGCTCGGATCACTTCTTTCAATGCGAGAAGGTCAGTATTTATCTGCCTCCCTTCTTGCTTCTCTTGTGGGGTTTGTTTGAGCGCAGACCCAGCCGTGCTGGAAAGGAACTCAGCGCCGGCCAGATCTACGAACACAAGCTTGCCACCAATACATCGATGTGCCCGAGCGGTAGTTGCAAACACTTCAGACTCATGCTCTTCTGCCTCTTTCACGCGAGATTCAAACTCGGCTTTTTTGGCTTCTGCGGCATCGACGCGTGCTTGATCCACTTGATAATCAGGATTTGGGACGAATTTCCCCTCATCAGTCTGAATAATTGCACGATATTGTTCCTCAATATAGACATCTGTTGCATGTTTTCCCACAGGAACAAGCTCAGATTGCCGCTCAACCACCTGATCACGCGCATTAAGAAGCTCCTTAGTGATGATCTCTAGCTCGATCACGGCATGCGTGCGCGAGCTTTGATCATGCACTGTCGATGTCGCAGTCTTGCGGTGCTTCAAGCCTTTTTGTAGCTCCCAGTGCAGCTCTTCAAA